CGCCGACCCCGCCAGGCGGCGGAGCGGGCCCCGGAGCCGCTCCGCCCCGGGCTCGGCGGCCGGAGGCGTCCTCTCGGTTACTTACCGGGGGAGAAGAGAGCCGGGATACCGGGGCCCCGGGCCGGACCGCGGAGATGCCCCAAACTGACACGGCCGCCATCTTGGAGACAGTGAGCTCCGGCTGGGGGGAGGGGCGGCGAGGTGGCGGAACAGCCGCGGGGGGAGGGGACGACGCGCGGGAACGGCCGCCGAGGGAGGGAACCGGAACAGCTGGGCAGGCGGCGGGGAGGGGCGCTGCCGGGAGCGGGAAGAGCGCTCCGGGAGCCGGGAAGGGCCAGAGGGCGGGCGGGGCTCGAGGGAAGAGCCGGCCGCCGTCACGTGGAGCGAGTACAAAAGGCCGACGCCAGCGAGGGCGGGGTGCGGCGGGGCCGAAGCCAGCTCCCGGCGTCGTGTTTGCTGCTGTCGCCAACGAGGCGGAGGGACGCAGCGCGCGCCCCGTAGGCGGCCGGGGAAGCTAAGGCCTGCGCGGCCGCGGTGGAAGCGCCCTCCTCAGCCTCCGCCCGCGCCGGATGGTAGGGCCTGCGCACCCTGCGCGCGGCCGCCGGCACAAGGTCACGCCGGGCTGTGCGTCCCCCGCGGACAGGCTCGTCCCGGCCTCAGCCCCGCGGGCGCCGCTTCTTTGTCTGGTCCCTCAGCCGCTCGGAACTCCGTGGCGGCGAGGGAGACAGACATTTTCCTCCCTCGTTCACGGAAAGGCGATAAATGACAGGAGACTTCGTGGATGCTCACTTAATTTTTTGGACGTGGGCCTGGGCCTGGGCCTGGGCTTGGCCCTTGGCCTCGGTCTGCTTTGTGTCCCAGCCTAGGCGCCTCCCCATGCCTCGTTCTGTCAGCTGTACCGGTGAAATACTCGAGCGCTCTGTCTCTCCTTCCGATCGCCCACCGCTTTAGCTTTGATGCTCACTCCCTTTTCTAAACTCAGGCTTGCACTTCGTGTGGTCCTTGTTTTTTTATTACTATAGCCACAGATCCATGCTGTCCTATGATAACTCTGCGTCTCCAGGGTCTGGCATTATGTTATACAAGTAGCAGGGGAATCCAAAAAAAGTGTTTCTAGTGAAGGAACTTCCCCGCCCCCATTCTGAGACAGGGGCCTGCTAAATTGCCTAGGCTGGCCTCGAACTTGAAATCTTTCTCCCTCGGCCTCCCATGAAGTTGGGGTTGTACGTTTGTGCCCCTTCACCTAGCGAAAACAAGCATTTTTTAAGCCACTAAGAAAAGAGAAAGTTTCCATCCCACTTTATGCTCTGTCTTGTTAAACATCAACCTCTTTTTTCCTGGCTCTGCAGTCCTTGTCCACGCTAATATTTAGCCTGGTGGCTCAGTACCTTAGGCTATGGAAGCCACTCTGTCACAGTAACAAGATGAAAACGTTCTATTTTCTGATGCTGGACCTGCAAATTCAGTATCTTGATACTGAAATCGGTAACCCCTCACCAACTTCCAAGATCAGAAGAGAAATCTGGGGATACCAGATAATTATTCTAAAAGATATTTTCCACCCATGGTAAAGCAGATAGGTTAAATGGAAAATCCAGAAATTTTCTCTTAGGAAAACAAGTTTCTTATTTCCCAAAGAGGAGATATAAACACATATTAATGAAAGAAATTGAGTTCTTCGTGTGAGATGAAGTATATAGTTTTCAGAAGAGAAATGTTAGAGACTAATTGTGTTTGCTTTTGGATAATTTGAAAGAGAACTAGCTGTCCCTGAGAAACCCGAGCTGGAGCTTAAGGTACCACAGCAGGAATGCAGAACCCTTGGACCAACAACGCTCGCACCAAGAGCTCTTCTAACAGTTTACCATAGACTTTGTTTCCCCATTTACTTAATTAAATGACACCCGCAGGAGGTCTTCTCCGAATAAAAATTTTGCAACAAAAGATGAAAGTCCTTATCTTTTGCGAGTTAAAAAACAAAAAGGACAGTTTCTCTTAACTTTTATCTTTTCTTCTTGTGGCGACAATTCAGTCTTACAAGGCTTGCAACTAAAACTGTGCCCTTCCATATTTTGCTCTAGGAATAACTGCTTTTCAGTAGTATTTGGTAATACGTTTTTTGCAGAGTCCACGTCAGCCTAAACCTGAAGACTGCTGTGTCCTAGTTATCGTACATTTATATTTAATATAATTACCGGTACAGTTAGGTTTATGCCTACTGCCATACTCTATTGTCTTTTGGCATATCTATTTTATATCTCTTCTTGTCTTCTATTGAATTAATAAAACAGTTTTACCACTAATCCTTTCTATTAGCTCAGATGGGTTCTGGAAATTACAGTATTCTTTCTTGATTTAGTAGAGTTGAATGTAAATTATTATTTTTAGCAATTCCCCAGGAAGGTTAATACCTTAGAATATAATACTTTTGCCTTGTGAACTAAAGTACTTCAGAGTAGCCACATCTGTATTAAAGAATATGGCCTGAAAGTATGGCACAGTGGTGAAGTACTTGCCTAGGGTATACAAGGCCCCCAGTTCAATCCCCAATAGCAAAAACAAACACCCAGAAAGAAAAACAAGAAAAAGAAAAATCCTACGGGCTGCCAGACCTCACCTGACTAGAACATCAGAGATGTGGAGAGATGGAATGGTGTAGGTGAGGAGCCAAAATTATCTTGGGCTAGCTTAGGCCCTTTATAAGCAATTACCTTAACTTTTGCATCTGGCCTGTATTCTCTTGACTGATAGATAAATTTCTTGAATCTATCACTAGGGTTAGCAGACTGTTAGACTTCACCAACCCTAGAGCTAAGAGAGCTATAAGATAACATCTGAGACCATAGCAGAGATTTCCCTTTACCACCCCCATGCTCCCACCACTGTCATTGTTACATGTACTTATTTATGACTTTCCTGTTTTCTGTGACCCAAAGAGTTCATGTAACCTCTTCCACAGTTTCAGTGTAACTTGAATCTGTGGTCCTGGCCCATGGTCACTCATATTTGGCTCAGAATAAACTATTATTTTCTTTAAAGCAAGGTTGTTATTTTACATTGACAGCCTGTGCTTACCACTCCTCCTTTTATGTTTATTGTGTCATGAAATTTAGTTGTGCATGTATAGGACCAGGGATGTAGCTCTGTGGCACAGTGCCTGCCTGGCAAGCATGAGGTTGTGAGTTCGATTCTTGGTGCCCAAAAAAAGTGCATATATATTTATATATACATTTGTTGTACTGATGTACTGAGAATGAACCCAGTACCTTCACACACATCTACACCCCAGCCCTTTTTTAAAAGTTTTTATTTTGATTCAGGGTCTCCCTAAATTGCTAAGCTGGGGCTGGGCTCAAACTTGGGATCCTCCCACCTCAGACTCTCAGGGTGCTGAGATTGCATGCATGCACCACCACATCTGGCTAATTGTGCATATATTTTAAGCCATACAAGAATTTACACGTACTATATTCTATATAGTCAACACTTACTTACATTTACCAGCATATTTACCCTTTCTGTTGCTTTTGTCCAACATGCATTTCTGTGTTTCTGTCTGCAATTTTTCCCTTCCATTTGAAATAATTCTTGTTTAGAGCAGGTCTGCTAGTATTTTTTTCTAGCAGAGAAGGTTTTTTTGCCCTAAGACCTTTGTCTTATTCTTCATATCTTTTCAAGGTTCCAGTTTAGCAAGAGTTTTTTCAGCACTTTAAGGTGCCCTTGCATGGTCTTCTCATTCCCATCATTCAGTTTTACTCCTTTGAAAGTACAGTCAGCCCTCCATAGCCATAGTTTCCACGGATCCTACACCCATGGATTCAGAAAGACATAGATCGAAAATATTTGGAAGATGAGCCTGACGATGCCTGCCTGTAATCCCCAGGGAAGGTGAGGCAGGAAGACCAAAAGTTGAAGCCCAGCTTAAGAGACTTAGCGGAAAACCCGTCTCAAAACATTTAAAAAGGATGGTGGATGTAGCTCAATGTGAGGCCCTAGTTTCAACCCCCAATAGTGCCAGGCGGGGAAGACTTCCATATCTATTTCCTATGTTTTTCTCCTTTTTTCCTCTCTTTGTATATTTTCTATCTACCTATCAGCTCCTAAGCCCATTCATTGAGTCCTTAATTTCATTATATTTAAATTTTAGAATTTTCAAGATAGTTTTAAAAAATAAAATCCATATGGGGAAACTTTCCATTTTCTTCTGTATTTTTTCCACTTTGCCTGTATTTTCCTGACCACATTAATCCTAGCTTTTTTTTTTTTTTTTTTGGTACTGGGATTCAAACTCAGGACCTTGTGCTTGCCAGGCAGGTACTTATACCACTGAGCTGTATCCCTGCAGTCCTACCAATTTTAAAGTTTTTGCTGAGCTTTATAATCTCTGTGGGTCTGTTTCAATGGTATATTCCTGCCATTGGTTTTGGTCTTCCCCAACACACATATATACCAGGCTCTTGGCTTGCCTGGTCAGTTTTAATAGAATGCCACACATTCAGTAGGTTTTGGATACTATTGTTTTCAGGCAGAAAAGCCTCACCCTGACCTTTGCAAAGATGTTAGAATGAGCTGTTCATCCTAGTGAGAGACTGAGCTAACTGGAGGTTGAATTTTGGCAGGGCTTAGTTGACTTCTTTTTGATGCTGCTTCTATACATGGCCCTCCAGGGTTCCAACTGAGTGAGTCATGTGTGTTCCTAGAACCCTTCATTCCAGGGGATCCTGTACTTCAGTCCTTGTCAGAACCTTAAGGATACCAGGAACGCCTGCTTCTCAGAGGCACTCTGCTTGACTTCCTACCTTCTGTCTTCTGCATCTTCAGAACTTGGCAAATGACTCAAGACAAAATGCACTGCACAGACTCATTTATTCACCCTTCTTTTCTCACAGGGAATCTGACCCCACTTATCTCCAGCCCTGCTGAGCTGACAGAATTCTTGCTGGTGCCTTGGCCTCCTAGGACCTCTTTCTGTCCTCAGAATCAAATCTCTGACTCTGTACCTCTGCCCAGAATTCCCCCAAGGAACCAATGTACTGCTGGACATCATCCCACCTCAACATCGTTTGTCCTTCTCTGAGATAATGTCTTTGTAGGTCCTGGTGGGCTCAGTAGCTCGCTGATGCCTTCAAACATATGTTTTCTATTTTAGCTGGCTCTCATAATTGTTTTCATC